ATTTTTTTATATATTAGATTAAGAATGTTCGGGGGTCAGCTGGGGCAGGTCGTTCATGGGCCCGTTTTGTTACAACCTATTGCCGAAGAATTGTCATAAATTGGCAAGTTGCATGCATCAGAACAACGCATCGTTTCTGAATTTCTGACAAATATAATGCACAATGCAACGCTCGTTCCACGCCTTCCCATTCTTTGTTTTTTTTAGTTGAACATCACTTTATCCCCCAAAAACAAGCGGCGAAAGGTACAACTCCGGACCGGTATAAAAAATTATAGGACAGATTTGAATCCTATGAATGATTTAAGTGCCTCATTCAATTAATGTCTCAAGTAACATGATAATAAAAATTTGATTTAATTGAATGACCGTCAAAAATTTTATTATATATTCTTTTTTATGCAAAGGAAAGAATTTACTATATAATACTTAAAAAATATCAAATTTCAACATTTTGGAGGCAACAACATAAGTAAGGAGTGTTTTTGGTTGTGTTGATTGCTTTGAATCTTTAAAGGAAATATATATATATATATATATATTAATAATTTTAAAGTATTAATAAAATATAATGATTATAATTGAGAGACTTATTGGATGAATATTTGTAGGTTACTTACAAGACTCGTCAATATTGAGTTCTCAAAAACCATTTAACGTATAATCCAAGGAGTATTATATACTCCATGGGTTTAAAAATTAAAACATTTTTAAATGATATTTTTAATATTTTAAGATATAGTTAATGTGTTTCTTTTAAAATGCTCCTAATAAATAAATTATTTTATATTTATTTTAAAATGAAACACCTTTTTAAATAAGAGTAAATATAAAAAAATATTGTTAATTTAAAGACAATTATCTATTTTATTAGAGATAAAATTTAATTAAAAATATTTTATTTTTTTTAATTAAAGGAGTATATAAATGTATCAATAACTTTTCAATGCATTTTATTTCATATAACATATTTTAAGTGAATATAGTCTCTAGTGAAAGACAAAAAGAAAATTACTTGGTAAATGTACGGTATGAACTTGGAAGAGGCTAAAGCATTTTATCCATTTTTAGGGTTATTAATTCGAGCAAAGCTAAGTCATATTTAATGTTTGGACTGACTTAAATAGACTCTAAAAAAAATTAGACCTAGGCTACATCATGTAGTCATTTTTAATGTTTGAGTCAGCTTGAATAGGTTTATAAAAAATTGAGCCAAACCCTATTTAGTTTAAATTTGACCCAGACACTTGAATAATTTTGTTAAATATATATAATATACCAAATGTTAATTAATATTTTAAATTTTGGTTCATTTTATATTAAGAGACTATATATTTAAATACATTATTATATATATTTTCTAAAAAAATAAAAAAATTCACATTATCTAAAATGTAATTTAATATTGATATTTAAACTTTAAGACCTACAATTATTTTTAAAAAATAAGTCTTCTATATTTTTTAAGTTCTAAAAAATATATTTTACATTTTTATAATATAAAATCAATTAATTTTAAATTAAAATTTGAATTTTGTTTTTAAAAATATTTTAAAAGTTCAACAATTTGTGTATTTAGATTGACTTGAACTATCTTGAAGAGATAAAGGCTAGGCCAAGCTATTTCGGTTTTTTTATAAGTGTGGGTTTTTTTAGGCCAATCCAAACAAACCTAACACAAATAAATCTGACTCATTCAAATTAGACCCTATCCATACCCACTTAAATGATTATCTATGCCAATAAAGTTCCCATTTTTTGGCATACAAATGTTTTTTTGGGTGAGTTACAAATGTTTTTGGGATTAAAAGTCATTTTTTTCTCTAAACTATACAGAAATATTATAAATATTTTTAAACTTAACTATGAATTAATTCTATATCTCAAATTTAAAAGTTCCCTTTGTTATCATCTTAATGTTAAAAACACTAAACGTCTGTTAGTTATCAGTGGGTCCCACAAGTTTTTTAATATTTTTGTCAATTTAAGGATCATTTTTACCCTTTAACCCAAATATTTTATAATAAAAATAATAAAAAATTATAATGTGAGACCCATTGCAATTAACTAGTGGTGAGAAAATGATAGAGTGATGAAAAAAAATCTTTAAAATTTTAAAAAAAATATCTTATATTTAAATTTAAAAATATTTATAAATTTTTATACTGAATTTATGAATAAAAATAACCCTTAACTCATATTTTTTTTATCCATTACCCAGACTGAGAATACTTTTTTGGGGTCAACAACGGGTAATATTGTTTTTTTGGCTGATGAAATCAACAATTGGCAATTACGTAGAACACATGTCCCTGAAAGAGAGGCCCACGGAGTCGGGCTTAGACTGTCCTCTCCATTTAAAAACAACAAATATTTGTGGCCGTCCATTGACCACAATGCGCGCGCACTGTCCACGGATGAATAATTTGCTAGCAAGCGGAGGGCATGGAGTCATGGACTACAAAATGAAACACAAAATATTTGAATAACTTTGACGACTTTATGGATCCCGTTGAATCAAATCTATTACTTTGAAGAAGAAAAAAGGGTCCAACAAAGCTCAAAGCAGAACCCACTTCAGTATTAACACTGATCAATCTTGGGACCTTTTCGGAATCAAAACCTTTTTGTCATTTTTGTGCCTCTTGCTGTCAAGCATGGTGAGGGAAATAGGGAAGTAATGGCTATTAATGGGAGGTGGTTAATATCAACTCTTGTAAAAATTAAGGACAAGGAAGCCTCTTCACCAATTTCCAGCCTCGCTTATAGATTCACGATTATCTCTTTTTCCTTTTATTTTTTTGGTTTAGTCTGAATAATATCAATTGCCATACATATTGCAAGAACGTCCTTCGTTTTGGCGTCACTTCAAAAATGTCACTCGAGTTCAAATAGGTCAAATTATATGCATAGATTGTCTTGTCTGCTGGCTCGTTAGGGGCTAAGACAACATCGATTTCACTGTTCCTGTTTTCATTAGAAGCTAGCTGCTAATGGCTTTCTCTATTTATATTGAGGTAGATACGTGTGAAGCTGAAACAAAAGCTGTTTAATGCAAGAAATCATAGAGCAAATGGTAAGCTCTATTTTATATTTTCTTTTGCCCCTTGTACCCTCTCTTGTTTAACTTTACTGGAGCGAGAGGGCAAACGTGAAATGTTTGTTTGTTTCGAATATGGGGTCTAGCCATTTTTTTTATCTTATCAATAAATTACTCTGAACTAAATAAATAGCGAATTATTAAGTTCAAGAATGTCGAGGATCTGAACAAAGTAAAACATAGTCAAATGTCAAAAGATGAAAATATTATATTTCCTGTCTCTTGTTCTTAAGAAGAAAAGGAGTAATGAGGGACATAACCTGAAGTCAAAAGGTGGCCGAGAAAATAACCTTCAGAGCCATAATTTAAATCCATTCATGGATGACCAAGGTGGCTGTTTCTGGCTACCCTGCTCTTCCCAATTACCATAGAAGATACATCCCCCTGTGAAAAAAACTTCTCCGAGGGTTTGGACATTAAGCCGAAAAAGTTAAGAGCATCTTTCATGAGATCGACATTAGCACGGCACCATCATTTACGGCGTTTGAAAAATTTTCACTCGGTGTGTATTTTTCTAGCAACCACTTTAAATTTCACTCACACCAGTCGCCATCCACTGTAGTCAATTAATTAATGGCCCCGAGATTAGATTTATAATTTCCTCGCACGTCCCTTCCCCCTCCCCCCTCCTTTTTGAATGTTCCGTCTCTGACCGTCCTTTAAAATGTGTGAAGAGTGAAGACTGAAGAGAAGTTTCCTTTGCACGCATAAGTCACAAATAGGACTATGAAGCAATTTAATTATGCACCACAGTTATTAGTTATTATTATCAGATAGTGTTTTATACATGTAGAGCGTTTGAGAACATGCTGAACTTATGAACATCGTGATAATTTTTTTAAGTCAATAGCAATAGATTAGACAGATAAACAAGTTCAATTGTCTTCTCTGACCTAATTATTAGTACGTTTTGTTGATTTAAAATGAGGTGTGAATGAAAATGTAAGGGAAAAAATTGTTTCTAGAGACCTTGAGCCAGCGAATATTAATTTTTAGAGTACATCGCTATAATCATGGGAAGGATTGATTATAACGTTCAAAAAGTTAATTGTAACTAGCTAGGTCTATCATGTAAACTTAAAGCCATCAAATATAGTTTTGGCCAAATAAATTTGATTTGTTAATAAAGAGCATCAATATTTTATACTTTTTTATAAGAAGTCGATGAATTATGAACAGTGTTATGATTTAATGGACATAGCTGACCTTAATTTACTTGTTGTATTTGTATTAATTTTTTTTGAAATACTTATTTTACTAGCAATTATAATTTTTTTCTGCTTTTCTCTACTTAAATTCTCAAAAATTAAGATTCATGAATTTTCGTATCTTTGTCATTGAAAATATTAATTTTACAAAAAAAGAAATCATTAGGGAAAAAATAGTTTCTTGACCAGCTAGAAAAAAAAAGGAGAAAAAATGACAACAAAAATCTCAAAATTTGAAATTTATGATAATTTTAAAAAAATCAGTTATAATTTTTGATTCAGATAATCATATTTTCATGAGTTTTTATTACAAGAAAGACATTTAAATTTTAAATATAAACTTTACAGTTATAAATTTCAAGTTTTGGAACATTATTGTTATTCTTCCAAAAAAATTACTAAAACCAATTAATATAAAATCTAGCATGCTGCAACAGAAGATGCCCAATTAATTTAAGGCAAAATTAAATAGAAAACATCAGCATCAACATCAACGATTTTTTAGATTTTCCAAAAGAATGACTCGACTCAAATAAAGTATTTTTGAGCGATTTATTATTAAATTTTAAAAGGCGGTAAACATCAAATTGTCCTTTATTTTATTTATTAGAGAAGTTAAAAAGAAGAGTCCCCCCATCTTAAAACGGAAAAGGAGTGTGACGACACGAAGTAGAGTCCGTACGTAAGGGGGCTCCAACTTTAAAACCCCTCTCAACTGGTGGCGAGAGTCACTTTTTGTGAGTACTGGTCCCTCCCTCACTTCCATATTTCTCTGCTTCTGAAACAGGCCATGGGAAGAGCTCCTTGCTGTGACAAAGCCAATGTCAAGAGAGGCCCTTGGTCTCCCGAAGAAGACGCTACTCTCAGGACTTACGTTCAAACTCATGGCACCGGTGGTAACTGGATTGCATTGCCCCGAAAAGCTGGTATTTCCCTTTCTCTTCCTTTTATTATTATTATTCTACTGCAATGACTTTTCATTCTTGTCCCAGTTTACTTAAGTTTCGTGTTTCATGATATACATAGGAGTCTGTGAACGTGAGAATTCCACTTACAGAGCAGGGTTTGTTTTCTATTCCAACACGACAAATGGCGTATTGTTCAATTTCCAAGTGCCTTTTGTCTCTGTTTTTTAATATCTAACATAGTTTTTGTTCGGCATCCTCAGGAGCGGTCATGTTTTGTTGCTTTCATTTTCCAGCAGCTAGCCTGATGTATCTCCTCCACCTCCCCGACCCCCCTCCCAACCAAAAGAAAAAAAAAAGAAAAAGAAAAAAACAATTGTCTCATGTGTTCTTGTATTTACATTACAGGCCTTCGGAGATGTGGCAAGAGTTGCCGTCTACGGTGGCTCAATTACCTAAGGCCAGACATCAAACACGGAGGTTTTACTGAAGAAGAGGACAACATCATTTTTACCCTTTATGGGCAAATGGGAAGCAGGCAATTATAATTTCCGATAATCATCGATATTTTCCCCCATTTTGCAAGTCTTTCTTCACTTAATCACATGATTTTTTCTTGTTATTCTTTAGATGGTCGGCCATAGCCTCTCAGCTTCCTGGTAGAACAGACAATGATGTGAAAAACTACTGGAACACCAAGTTGAAGAAGAAGCTAATGGCAGGAAAAGTGAACCTCAAAACAATGACAGACAGTCGCAGTACTCTTCCTTCGACCCCATTACTGACTCACAATGTTCATACTCAAAGCCAAAATTCAGATTTTCCTGCTTCTCAAAACCAGAGTTCATCTCCCAGCTCAACTCTGCCCATCCTGACCGATGCTAATTCTGGGTTTTACATTAACACTCACACCATGATCAGTTTCGATCCGAATCAATTATACAATCCGGGTTTCATGGATATCTCAGAAATTAATAACGCAAGCTCAAGTATGATGTCCATGTCTCAGGAAGGTTCAAGCATTTCAGATTCATCTTTGATTGCAACGGATAACAAGTGTTTGTTGCTGCCAGATCATGCCGGCGACGAGGCTACCCAAGTATTAATGAATTTTGGGTATGGATTTCCCTCTGACATTGTCAATAATGGATTTTACTCCCAAGAGGAAATTGGTGAATTCGCTTCAATTTTCTATCCTCATGAATTGGTTGATTTTAGCAATGCTGACATGAAGCCACAGGGACGGAATTGAAGTGTTGATTAGTATTGACGATAGTTTTAAAGATCAAATGCGAAACAACAGAATTAAGGAGAGAGGGCCAGCTGACATCTCCACAGTTAGTTCCTGTGTGTGATTTAGTTTAGTAGTTCTCGTGTGTTCATAGACAGCAACGTGTAATGTTGGTAGGTCAAAGTTTGATTGGAACATGTAAGGAAGATTAAAGATTACTAGTAACATGTATTGTATCCTCTCTCTAATCTCTCTGTGTTAAGGTTCATGCATGTTGGACAATGTCAATGTGGGGACCGCAAGACGAGGTTAATTTCTTTTGTTTTTGTTTTTGTTTTTTTTTGAAGGAGATAGAAATTGAAGTAATTAGTGGGATGACATAAGCATGTTGGCCAGTTCCTTGTTGGTCAGTGGTCACGAATGTTGCATGGACCTGAGGCCAATTCAAATCTCATAATTCAATAATATTATGTCCCTCGTATACTTCAACCACAAAAGATTCTCTCTCCACTCGCTCCCCTCGTGATACTCATTCTCAGCCCTCATAATAATTTTTATTATCGTCCTTCTGAAATCCTGCAGCTCGTATTCATATAAGCACACACGAAAGCCCACATAATTAAATGTAGCTCAAATTCAAACACATTCAAGGACATGCGAGCATCTTTCCCTCGTACTCATACACGTGCCGATGTACGTAAACAAGAAGGCAGACAAACATGAAGGTGGGCATTATTATTTATTACCATAACGTCTTTTCTATCATGTAAACCTTCCGTACTGAAGCCTCCAGCTTGTAGTATATCCCTAACCAAGGCCATTTAAATCTTGCTTATGGTCAAAGTCTTCGAAAGCACATATTATAGTTATCACTTGACACTTTGAATATGCCACATTTGCTTCGAGTCAAGGCCACAGAATATGACTTTTAACCATAAGTTTTGGGAATCTTAGGTGTAGATAAAATAAATTAATTTACTTATTTGCTATTCGTGCATGTGCCAACCATCCCATATATATAACTTGACCAGTGACACTCCTCTCAATTAATTGCAGCCCACTTGACTAAATAAGAGTGTTTTATGAAATGATAATACAAACCCAAAGCGCTAAATCAGGATATTATTAAACGGATCGCCAAGTGATGGGGTTTTGCACTTGTGCTGTATAAATTAAAAAAGAGGGAGGCTTCTAAAGCTGGCCAAACACTTTGTTTCTTCTAATGTCTGTACCTAGGAATTTAAGAGACCTGGTCGCATAATGTCATCCATTTGCTTCTCCATGGCGTTATTTGTATGGGTGAATATTCCTGCACAAAGCAACTGTCAAGAGACACACACACACACATATTGTCATGATAACGCAGGATTTACCCGATATTCTTTTTTCTAAACAGGCATTCCTTCAACATGTGGGCTGTCAGAAGTACTAAAATAAGCTTATCTTTTTAGTTAACAAAAGGAAATGAACATCAGTTTAGACTACGAGCCGAAATAAATTAACCTAATTATCTCATTATTCTTACTCCTTTTTACATGCACAAAAGTACGATAAATAGAACGAAACCTTTGTCCCTGGACTTTCCAGTTTTATTGTTTGCTGGAACGGTTGATGGAGAGGGTCACACGTCGCTTCTTATTTTCTCCACCTCCAATAGCTATATACTGTATAAATGTACAGAAGTTGACACACGGAGAGTTTCGCAAAACCGGTTACAAGCAGACGAAGCCATTTATCATTTTGTCCATATCTAAATCTAAATTTAATAAACGTTGATTATTTGCTTTGCTAGTTTAACTAGATTATATTGAATAGTTGGCTGGAAAAAAAAAATTAACTACATGTTCTTCTTATAATATAAGACGAGGTAACTTGTCCAGATCGATGTAGATGGAATAGCTGCATGCTGTTCTTATAATATGCACACGGTATATATAATTTACTATGGTTTACTCCGCGACTTAAGATAAGTTTTTAAATTGAAACATGTGAAATGAGAACTTGATCGTCTGTTTCTTTTCATATATATGAATAAATCCTCCGTGAATTGCTGAACTTTTTGCGGTGTTCGTTAGGCCTTTGAAGTTATCAGCGTTCTGGCTTTGAAGGATCCGATCCGAGAATTCCTTGACTTGATTTTTTTTTTTGGTTTTTTTAACTCAAAGCAATTGGGAAATATACACACTCACACTTGCCATGCCACTAGCAGACTTCATTAGGGTGGAAGTTTGAAATTCAACCTTTCGAGTAAGTATGAACGAAGAAAGCAAAATGGAAGAACCATATGTCTAAGGGCTCTTTGGTTGGCAACACAGAATGAGGTGAAAATGAAGATGAAATTATTTTTTTATAATGTGAAATCTCATATATATTCCTGAATAAAAATCGGAAAATGAAAAATAGCTATTACTGAGTAAAAATTAGAATAATATAAGGTAGAATTTGAACAAGTGAATTTAGATTTAAATTTTGGATTTAAAATCATGCATTTCTTTAAAATTATTTGTTTAAATAGTTTAAAGAATTTCAAATAAAAAAAGAGATTGGTTGAGATTTGAAATAAAAACAAAAAATTGGCAACAATAAGTTTAACTCTATTTTTAAAATCAATAAGAAATAAGAATGAGAAATAAAAAAGATACAAAAAATCATAAAAACATATCAATAATAAAATCACTAAGAAAATGAAATTTGAAGTGGCTAAAATTTGAAATGGGTAAGAAAATAAAGAGAATTTAAAATTATAAAAAATATAAAATACATATTTGGATTTAAATCCATATTAATTCAAACACGCCCTAACAGATATTTTTTCCAAACCACAATATAAACCATTTTTTTCCAATTATACCTTTACATTGTTGAGTAATTAACAAGGATGTTTTAATAAGTTAAATGTTATTCTTTTCATTAAAAAATGTATTTTTTGATAGATTAGATATTAAAAAATATAAGGCATTTTAATGTTTTAATGTGCAATCATTATCTTTTTTAAAAAAGTTTCCTTATTAAATAAATTATTTTATATTTATTTTAAAGTAAAATACCCTATTAAATATGGGTAAATATAGAAAGATAAGGTTAGTTTGAAGATAAATAACTACTTTATTGAAGAATGAAATTCGATTAAAAATGCCTTATATTTTGTAATAAGGGAAGTATATTTATCACAGCATAATTAAAAAGGTGTGGAAATTTTTAGAACTTCAAGAATCAACATTTTTGAAAAAAATGTAAATTAATTAATAATAACTTATATTCTGAATTGAAGAAAGAATTGCATATTTTATTTTTCATGCAATGAAAAATGATTCCAGGGATGATTGGGTCTAACCAAAAAGAGGCTAATCACAATGATGTTTATATTTAGTGTTCCACCTCGAATCTATTAAAAGAAAGATAGAAACGCGTTAACGATTGATTATTGTAGACTGTTGTATAGTCTATGAAATTGTCATCTAGGCTAATGCACAAACACACACATGATTGATCACACGTGGTCCCGATCCATCGGATTTCTCTTCAAATTCGGTCGCTCATACTCGAAGGTACATCGTTCGATCTCATCGAAAATCATGCATTCATATCTTCATAGGCTTTAACCAACCGCTCCAGTTTAGATATGTGGTATCTGTTTCTGTTCCATCAACCTTTCTCTCCTCAGTTTCTTCGGAAAATATTCATTTGCAGATCCACCTTGGATTTCATGAAGGTCTTTGATCAGACCGTTAGAGAAATGTGAGCTTCACCTATCCCTGCATTGCAATTTTTATCCACTTCGACTTCTGTGAGTGGATTTTGTTTGGTTGCAAATTTTAAGCTGCCAATGTTGATTCCCTTGGTACAATTACTTTTAAAACTACAGAAAGAGGGAGATGAACCTGAAGGTACTTAAAGTTCCCGAAATCGAACAGAAGGTAAATCTCTTATTTATCACGTTTTTTATCAATCAAACTGCCATGATAAGTCTTTCATTCCCATGAATACTTGGGACAAGATGGGACATCCATTGGCAACTCTGTATCCTGTTCTAAACACCTTCCCCATCCCATCCTGCATAATTCAGTTTTGATTATTTCTAAGCCGGGATAAGACCGGGCCAATTGGGACTTGTACAAGTTGAAGACCTTTACTTGCAGTTGCAGCTCATTTAATACATGAAGTGATAAAACAGTCCACTTGCTAAATAAAGTAAAAAACAAAAAGTAATAAAATATTAAATTAAGATAAATTTTCTCTTATAGCTTGCTTCTTCAAAATATATTAATTCTTATATTTCATCATATAGATATAGGAACAGTTATTGAGAGACAAGGGTAACTATGATGATGGAAAATATGAGAAAGATCTCCGTGTTAAATCACCAGTCAACAGTGGTAATCAAGGAAACTACTTCAAGAAGGTTTCTTTGCACTCAGACGGGTAGAGCATCACTAATTGTTAATATGGTTTGCAAATAGTTAGCATATTGGATGTTCATCGCATAGTACACCTGGGATTGTTATTATATACATAGGAAGATTTACTTTTTGGGCTAGTTTTCTTGACTTCATAACCTTCACGTTAAATGGAAAATAGAAGTACATGTAACTTTTGTGTCACGACTCTACAAAGACGCTCCTAGTGCATGATATTCATGTATCAGACTCATTAACAGGAAATATGTTTCATTCTAGACTTTGATCCTTCTCTTCCTTTTCTAGTTCAACAAGATGATATTGAGAACACTGTTTAAATGGATAGTCAGTTGATGAGCATGATGCCGTTTATCTCAGGTCCATCTTTACATTTGCACAGCCTTCAACAGTTATCACGCTCAGCTAAGACATGACCCCTGCATGGTTTTTACTTTATTCTTTCGTTTGAGTTCAAAATATTTTGTCTTGCAGCAAAAATCAGGAAAACATATCATCCAAAGTATCAAAGTCATCTAGTAATCTGTGAAGAGCCCTAATAAATACAGCTCAGTTAGCACACAAACTTCAAGTGTAACTGTAACCAATAATGGAGATGATTTTGATCCGAGAGCAACTTCAACTACTAGTAAGTATTCTGCAATTATTTTCTACGTAGAGGTGCACGATTTTTTTTTTTCTTGAGTCTTAGACATCTATTGAGGCAATGTTGCGTTGAAATTATTGTGGTGCAAATGTTCATGGTCATCAGCGGTTCGAATTTCATTTTTCGTTTCTATTCTTTTCTTTTTAATTTTTCTTTTTGTGTTTTTTGCATAGGAAATGATCACTAAAATTTCCTTTTTAGATTTGACGCCTTTACGTTGGCTGCAGATTTTAATAAATCTCTTTCTAGCCCATCTTTTATTTTTGGACTGCTTTGATTATTCTTACCGTGACCAACTGGGGGTTGTATGCTGGAACGATATATTTGAAGTGTATGTTGTATGCTATAAGTTTCACCCGACCTCCTTCAAAAGGGAAAAAATGTAAGAAAACCAAACTGACTATAATGGTGG